AAACAAACGTGACCAAAGTGAAATGTACGTTACATATTTTCCAATTGATGTGGACCCTTATCCTCACATATCCCACCCTTTTCTTTAATAGCTTTTCTCTAATTAATCCTTTAAAATCCATTTATAGTAGTTAATTTATTTGAACATCTACATTAACGTACACAAATTGACCATTATTATATATGTATTCATGTCTTTGGATTTCCTAAGATTTGCAGATATTCCAAGCCAGATGCTGCAAGTACAGTTTGTAAAAGGTCTAATTACATTGTTCATATCAGAATCACACGAAACAAAACTAGAATCTAGAGTATCATCATTTACAACGTATCTGTTGATAACGTATTATATATATTGTACAACAACGTTATACTTAAGTTTTATCGTGTAAGCTTTAAAAAAGTTCCCACGACAAAGAGTACAGTTTTATTAGACAAATACAGGTCACGTATCTGTTGAAATTTTAACGGACAAACCACGAATACCGAGTTTCATCCAGGATACGTGATATATGCTTACGGAATTAATGTCGATGGATTTGTATGCGATATAAGATACCTTTAGTCAATATACCAAGATATTTAAAACTTGTATTCACCGATAACAGATGCTTGAATAATGGGTGTTTTGTTTAGTAACGTATCTGGTAAGACTTTTTGCGACAGTAGATAATCGCCAAAAAATCATATTTTAGCTTAAATTATTGATGTTGAATTAATTAAGTTTTGTTTAGACATAAGTAAACTTAAACTATGAAGGAAAACAAATTAATTTTAACTATAAACTGGAAAAAAATGCAAAGCTGTTGGTATCAGAAAAAAGTGACGCAACAACGATTGTACTCTTTATGAAAAATTTACCGTACGTTTTCATTATTTTTTTGTTTGATTTTGGAAAACATACCAATGTTGAAACAGTGAACTATAGTTTTGACGTATAGGCTATACTATTCCGTCTTTGCGTATCGCAGAGTTATCTTCTCTTGGGAGCAGGTATTGATTGTTAAGCCACTTGTTTGTGAGAGTAACGTCATCAATTTTTGAGAAAACGACGTGATTTTCTCACACAAACCAATGACGTAACAATCAATACCTACTCACAAGAGAAGATAACTCTGCAAGCCTAACCCTTGGAATAGGTGGTGGAAGAAATTGATTAAAGGGAAATAACTCAGTAAATTACAGTCGGATTACAGTGGTTAAGCATTGAGGGTAAAATAGCGCCTGGTAAGGCCTAACCCTTGGTATTTCAGTGAGGTACGTAGCACTATAAAGTCGGCATCAGATCCGCGCTATCACAAGAAGGCAAATACACCAACATACACTGACTCCTGCACACAAGCACCAGTTAAAACAGGGACAGGGACGGGTCAGAAAAGGTCCCACCATGTGGCCGACCTCTAATCACCAAGTCGCAGAATTTCAATATGCCACAGCGATCATTCTAGATTATGTAAAAAAAGTAATAAAGCGTTACACGTGCATGTAATCCGACGTGTACCAGTTACCACATAGTATGAACAAAACCAGACCAAATTTTAACCAGAAAGGTCTCAGCCAATTTGCAGCCAAGGACATATATATCTTCTTTATCCTGACATACTTCTGGTTAAACATAGAATCGTTTACACAGATAACTGTTAATTAATGAAACAATCTTCCGTCAAATGTTGTGAATTCAAGCATAGTTAAACAATTAGAACATATAGATTAGATGAACACTGGCAAAACCAAGCGCAGAAATACAGTTTTAACGAAAAAATCGAAATCTAAACGTCGCAACTTTTGAAATACGTAAAAAAACCCAAAAAAAACTGAGCTGATTGTCAACGGATTGTAAAATCCTTATTTTGTCAGAATAAATCTATGTATCTATAATCACCTAACTAAAGTGTCATGATTAATTCTGAGAAGAAAGGGTTTAATAAATTTGGCTTGTGACCTTCAACGTAGGTTAAGGTCACTCATTTGATCAAACTTGATATCACCACGGACTTAATTCCGTGATATCACTTCATCCTAGTAAGCTACTGACCAATTACATCCAATGCTCTTTGGGTATTTATAAGAGACGTGTTTTACATATTTGACCCTTGCTAATATATTAACATTGAATGTGGTCCATGTTCATTCATTTGGACTAACTTGATGGTCCTTTATCAATCATGGCTCTGACCAAATATCATCAATCTATGCCTCTTCGTCATTTAGAATTAAGAAGTTGCTCAAAGGTTTTAACTTATTTGACCCTTGTACAATGAAAGTAGGATAAGATCACTGATGAAAGCATTATTTTCAAAAAGCTATATAATACATGTAGCGGATCTTAACTGGGTCGATCGTCGGCGACCAGGTAGCTCAATAGGTAGAGCGTCCGTCTAGTGTTCTTATCGTTACAGAACCCAAATCGGGACAATTTTTAGTGAAATATTGATGTATTTCATATCATAGTACCGATCCCAGTATTTTTTGTTCACTTTTCCTAAATAGATATCATTATCTTTTGATTTTGATAACAAGTTGATATTTCCGGCACACGGTTCTATAATTAAAACCCGGAACTATAGCCATGGTTACGTAATCGCGAAACAGGTGTAGCTGTACCCAAATTGGGACACCCCTACCAGTTTTGGCTTATATTTAGAGATGAAAAAGTATTTAGCAGAACATATGGCATATCTTTGGAATATTTAAGAGTCAATGGTCGTTTTGAATTAATTTCTTTTCCGAACTACCATTAGTTGTGATATAGTAGGATTGTGAAAAATGATTTTTTAATCACACACAAAAATTGAAAAACAATAACGTCGCATGGCGCATCAATTTAGAACGTTACATTTTCGCTATTGTTTACAAACTAAAAATGTGATTGTAACCATAAGTGGCAGTAAATAAAGTTCATATAATGTTTTATTGGTATATATTAGTTTATTTAAATCAATATTTTCAATTTGAAAATACTTCTTTGCACAGCATGCAAATTTCTTGTGCATTTTTCCTTTCAGTGTCCCTATTTGGGTACTGTGACGGTAGGGTCCCGGGTTCGAACCCCGACCTGGCCGTGCATTTCAAATACATGAAATGATGGAGAAGATACAAGACAGAGCCATTCGTTTTATTGAGGATGACTACACAACGCCAGTTTTTGAACTTTTAGAAAAAGCAAATTTATCTTTTCTTCATTTAAACAGAATGAAAACCATGGCTTGATGAAGTTTTTAAAATTATTACCAATGTAGCTCCGGATTATTTATGTAATCTTTTAACCATGAAAGCGTCTTTTTATAACCTCAGGAATGAAAGGCAGCTGGGGCTACCAAGAGTAAAAACAACCATGCAGGTATAGACTGAAGTCTTTTCGCTACGATGCCGCCCGGGTGTGGAACAGTCTGCCAAACCATTTGAGGAAGGTGGAGAGTTATCCAGAGTTTGCCAGACTGCTGCACTCCTGGGATGGCCCCGTTTGCTCATGTCGTATTTGTACCTGTGTCTAGAGTTTTAATGTTTCTTCAGTGCTTTAGTCTTTATTATTAGTTACCTGCTTTATTTATCTATTATTTATTTACCTACCTATTTACTTTAACTTCTGCTTTGCATGGCGCTTTTATATGCCAATAACTGGCAGCATAGTTTTTAGCCCTCTCTTCTAATCATCATTATAGCTCAGTATCTTTTACTTACTAGACCTTGTCGTCCTATTTTAATTTACACTATATTAGTGTATATTATGTCAAATTTTACTCTTTTGCTATTTTAGCATGTATGTACATTACACTTGAAGTGTTTTAACCCTCCTATTATATAGCAACACCTGTGTGATATGCAGGTGTTTCACTATTATCACTTTACATCATTTTTTAGTATAGTACTTTAAATTTAGTGCCTGTGATATCTATGTATATGCTGCTATGTTATTGTATGTTTTACTCGCTGATTATGTGCTAGCTTTCTGTGATAGTGTATAGCGTGATTTATTGTTTTCTGTTTGCTTTTTTTATCATGTTTGTCGCAAAAATAGCGCTACAGCGCTAATGTTTCTCTGTTTGATATATGCGACGTTAAATAAAGTTTCTTGTATCTTGCATCTTGTACACATATTGTACACATATTGTACACATATTGTGCATATGTAAACACCTAAACAAGAGAAGAACAACGTCAGATATGAGATCACCCAGCTACAAGGGGAGAGGCATCGAATAGATTTAGTGACAAGTGAAAGAGATAACGGTGTAATTATTGACAAAAGGCTTGAATATAGCATAAGGGACTAAGATCTGGCATGGTAGAGATATAACCAACCAACAAATCATCCCTGCCTTCGACAACCTCAATACGAGGGGAAACTAAAAAAACCCTGAAAAAATCGGTATAAGACCAACATTTGGGGACATGCTTTTAAAAATAGAATTATAAATATTTGGAATCAACTCCCTACAATTGTGGTAGATTCCCCAACCTTAATTACTTTTAAATCTAGACTCAATAAGCATTGGGTCAATCACCCAATCAAGTTTTTACCATCATGCTACTAATATGTAATATAAGTTGCGTCCTTTTCAGTTTGCGCAACCTGTACTATGAAGAAGCGTCAACAGAAGCAATGTATTATGCTTACGAAGACGTCGACCACCATGAACCATGAACCATATCGTCGATATCACAGTGAGTGATTTTTATTCTGAGATAATCTTCGGAAACGCAAAATATGGGCGGACAGATATTTTTGTTACGTTTTGCTGTCAGTGTTTGTGTGATGCAATGGACAGCGTTCTACTTGGGAACTGGTATCTATTTATCAATAATACCCCTTGGTGACCCTCTTTTGAATTTTAAGCGTCTGATTAACTCCGGATCTGGCACAGACTACTTCCGGTTTTGGTTTTTCTGCAAATGAAAACAGAAAAAGTAGTAAGTATGCATATGATTAATTGGGTTTTCAGAAATCATTCCTCCCAATGCACTTCTAAATTTTAATGTTTGTGCGTCATTGAAAGATACCGATTCATATGAGAAGGACGTTTTAAAAAAAAACCAAGCAAACATATCTATTCACGTCTGACATCAAAAGAGTGAAAGGGTGTAACGTTTAGCATGATAAATAGGCTTGTCAGACCACAGAAGAGTGAAATTCTCTAAAATAGTCGAATTATAGACCCATAAGTCAAGATATAGCCGATATACTTGTGGTAAGGTAAACCTAATCATAATGTTTTGAAACCTCCAGTAGTGAGATTATACTATTGCTTTAACTTATACAGCTGTTATAGGATTTATTATATAAAAACTTTCTTTGACAACATTATTTCATCTTAGTCAGTAGTTAATGACTCAGTAAAGACCACAGGGGGCTAACACTGGTCTCACCTACCCATCTCACCTAGTCACCTCTTTCATCACAAATTCTTCATTTGGTCGTTAACTATTATGTGTTATAAATATGTAACGTTACCTATAATCATTGATGTTTGTATGTGTACTGTATGCCCTAATGTGGGTCAATGTTTGATTCAGAAAAATCTTGTATTATTCTCTATCCCTTACACTAGTTGACTAGACTATATATATATACTCCAACAATGTTAGAGGTTTTACACGGCGAGATACTTTTGACAGGCGTTGCAGTTGGCAAAATCATATCCGATAGAAAAAATGCCGACCAGCGGCCTCTTATGTTATAGGAGTAGTCTAGACTAGTGCTGGTTTATGTGATTATGTCTTTGTTGTCTCTATTGTACCAATTTCCCACTAGATGACGATACACTGCTAAGGAGACAGGATTGGTGAGGAAAGGAAACATTAAAAGCTGACAAGATGAGGAGGAGGAAGGATGGATCCATGTTTACTGTTGTAAAATACATATTCTTCTTTTTCAATGTCCTCATATGGGTATGTACACTCACCTTTCAAGTCTACAGATTACAGGTCACTCCCAAATTAGAAATGTTTGAAATTTAAAGAAATCTTACAACTGACAAAAATGACCAGAGAGAGTCCAACCTTTTTTTAGAAAATCTACAGTTTAATACCATTTGCCAACACAGGTTCTAATACATGTATCTGTGGCACTTTCTCATATATGGACATCATACGTGAAAGTACATAGGGATGGAGAAAGCACCATGTCGAATACCGAAACAGTGTCTCTGGAACCTCGTTTTGACCATTGACCATTTATTTATATGTACTGCATTACAGGTTAATTTCCAGGCCATATATATATCATTTACTGATTTATGAACAGTGATCTGATACTTGTATACATTTCTGTCCTGTGAACCTGTGGAGAACCGTAATTGTGTCATAACCAGACAAGGATATTCCAATATCTGATCATTGTAGTTTGAAAACAAATTTACTACATTAACTGTGATTTTTTAATGGCAGATTGGGAAGTTTAAGGATGCAATTGAACAGAAGAAACTAATTCAAAATATTCCTTTCTTAAAAGAAACAATATATATATTTTCTTTAAATTCAATTTATTTTTATAGATACATGTATTTGATACCCGAATAAACTGGATGGTTTACCACTGTGAAATATATATATATAATACCATTAGGATGTTTTAAATACAACTATTTGATGTGATGAATACCCTGTGTATTTTCTAGCTACTTGGCTGTGGTTTGTTGGCTGTCGGCATTTGGATGCAGGTCAACAAAGGCCCCTACATGGCCATCCTTCCTAGTCACAGCTTCCTGAGTGCCACGGCCCTGTGTATCGCAGCGGGAGCTATCATCCTCATTGTTGGATTTTGTGGCTGTTGTGGTGCTTTGGTGGAAAATCAATGTATGCTTGTAGCAGTAAGTAAGATGAAATAGTAAATTAAAGCATACCGATAAATAATCAAAATCCTTAATATTCTCTTGAAAAATATGGCCTATCGCCAGCTTTTGGAAAAAAAGCAGGACATGTTTATTTTGGTGCATCCCTGTCTTTTCGTTTGTCACGCCTGGTTTCCATGCTATAACTTGCACCCCTGTCTTTTCGTTTGTCACGCCTGGTTTCCATGCTATAACTCGCACCCCTGTCTTTTCGTTTGTCACGCCTGGTTTCCATGCTATAACTCGCCCCAAAATGGTTCAATTAAACCAAATTTGGTGTGCACATCACATATTGGTAAAATTTGTCCAAAATTTGATTTCCAAAATGGGAGTGTGCTTATTATTTATACATAATTAATGACTTATGAGATTACCCACCTTTGACTTGTTAATAGGATTCCGTGTAATTAAACTTTTAAAAACATCATGCAATTCCAACCACTTTTGATGTGCTTACGGTATGCAGTTCAGTTGATCATGTCATGTACTATGGATGAGTCAACCAGCCTCCATAATTCATGCTTATTTAGTACCTTAACTATATACATCCAACTTCAGTAGAAAGCTGAAGAGGTTCCTGTCATGTCTGCTTAGAGTTCTCCATTCTATTGAACAAGAAATTCACATAATAATCAATAATTTACAGAGCAAAATTAAGGTAATTATTTTTGCTTACTTGGCCTGAAGAGGGAATTAGTGGTGAATCTCTAAAAGACTACCCAATTATGAATTCTGAAAAAACATATTTGACCTAATTTGGTTTAAAGCATCCCCAGGCAAAGAACATTCAACTTGTGTAAATAAAGGGTGTGTCCCTCTTTGGGACAAAGAAGATGGACTCAAAATAGGGGCTAATCTTCAAAAGAACACTCCCTAAATAGTGCTGAGATTTCAACAATTTTGGATGTGCAGTATATCTGTAGGCAAAGGGAGTTCATCATTGTATAAGCAATTCAAATTTTATATCTGGCTGTCCGATTGGATTCTCCACTTTTCAAACCATTGACAATGGCCATCTGTTCTGTGATTGACTGAGACTTTTAAACTCACCAATTAATGTATAAATTCCTAGAATGTTAAAAAATATAGATAACAAAATACTTACTCCAAAACATATATTAAGTATATCATTGTTAAAATATCAAATAATGATATTAACCTCAATGATAAGGGAAGATAAGAATTCCTTAATTAATTGGTTTTGTTTTTTCCTGGGACACTACTACAGATATGTTTATGTCTATGAATGTCTTGTTCCTTGCAGTACTTTGTGTTTGTGTTCGTGATATTTGGACTGGAGGTGGCCATAACTGTTTTGGGTTTTTCCAACAAAGATCAGGTAATTTGAGTTAACTACATTTTGTACTTACAGCATGTCATCATTTTTATTTGGTATGTAAACGGTGCCAACAGGAAATACTTAACTTTATTAAACTTTGGATCAAATTAAAAATGTAATATAAAATACATTCTAAAGAGACTTTTTTTGTAATATTCTATGATTGAGTTTAAAGGGAAATGTATTTGATGCACCAATTTACTGATCATTCTATAATGCTTTAACATGTGTAACTATGTGATATAAAACTTTACAGATTCGTTCGACTGCTGAGCAGGAGTTGACATACAGTATAGAACATGTTACTAGTACTAAGATAGAGAAGACACACCAGGAGGGCGTACTAGCAATGATAGACACCATACAACAGGATGTAAGTACTCATAGGTCCTCTGTAGGACAGGGCCCATTAGGACAGCTCCTCTGTAGGACAGGGCCCATTAGGACAGATCCTCTGTAGGACAGGGCCCATTAGGACAGCTTATGGCTATGTAGCTGGGGGAACCATAGCATCTAGGTCAGAGCTATTAAATAATTTGATTTTTGATATTTTATTCTGAAATTTTACATTATCTGTCTATGGTACGATAGAAATTAAAACTATCGGACCTAAAAGCTACAGTTCCTGCAGCTAATGGCTATACAGCTAGATTCAAGTTTTATAGAGCAAGATAAATATTTAGTTTTAATTTCCATTGTATTCCCCTTTGTATGTCACAGTCCTGCACACAACTGATATACTGCTCCCATTTCTAATAGGACCATGTGTAGTAATGATATGTTTTTTGAGTTATTATCAGTGTTGATGTCCATCTAATGTGCAAATTATTAAAATTGTACAGTGTACACATATTTAATAAACTATGATTTGTATAACTCAGAAAATAGCATTAATTACAATGCTTTTTATTATTTATAATGCATTTTATCATCCATGAAATCTACACCAATTATAATTTTCATTCCAAGACATCTAAATTGATTAGACGTTACTTAAATATAAAACCAGCTCTGTTGATCAATTTCTAGATAAACCTACATATTGCCATTCTGTTGTACTGCCTCATACACAAAATGAGAGATGTATCTTGTCATTGATTTCCTCAACTTTAATTTCTGTGAGTTAAGATAGCGGAACCTTTGTGAACGAGTTGAATACCTGTAAACAAGTATGTAGAATGACTGATAGTTGACTTGTGCTGTTGTTTACAGCTCCAGTGCTGTGGGATGAACAACTACACTGACTGGTACACCATTGGTAACCTGTCTAAGGGGGAGGCAATCCCGTCCTCTTGTTGTATATACAAGGGGGAGAACTGTGGCAAATCTTCCAGCCTTCGCTTCTACAAACGAGTAAGTCGGTAAAAGTGACGAGTATATTTGGGGAACATACATGTATAAGAGTAACTAAGTTGCATTTTAAATGTTGAACCTGCCATCGGTTGAGACATTTTAAAATGTTGAACCTGCCATCGTTTGAGACATTTTAAATGTTGAACCTGCCATCGTTTGAGACATTTTTAAATGTTGAATCTGCCATCGTTTGAGACATTTTTTCTTCATCCCTGACATAAATGGCCTTCAGAAAGAGGTCTAGCATGCTTAAATGTCCCGGTGAGTGATACATGTCCTTTAGGCCTCTTGTTGTGGATACTTTCTGAAAAGAAGTTCTGCTATGTTATTCAAATACACTAGTAGGCAATACATTTCACCAATAACAAATCACAGTTAAAACCTATTAAAATACTCAGTTTGACAATTACATTATTTAATTACATAGTAGTGCAGTATTCAAGATCTGACTATAACATAGTCAGTGATTTATCGTGGACTATAATATAGTCAGTGATCTATCATGGACTATATTATAGTCAGTGATCTATTGTAGACTATAATATAGGCTGTGATCTATCATGGACTATAATATAGGCAGTGATCTATTGTGGACTATAATATAGGCAGTGATCTATTGTGGACTATAATATTGTCAGTGATCTATCGTGGACTATAATTTAGTCAGTGATCTATTGTGGGCTATAATATAGTCAGTGATCTATCTTGGACTATAATATAGTCAGTGGTCTATTGTGGACTATAATATTGTCAGTGATCTATCATGGACTATAATATAGGCAGTGATCTATTGTGGACTATAATATTGTCAGTGATCTATCATGGACTATATTATAGTCAGTGATCTATTGTAGACTATAATATAGGCTGTGATCTATCATGGACTATATTATAGTCAGTGATCTATTGTGGGCTATAATATAGTCAGTGATTTATCGTGGACTATAATATAGTCACTGATCTATCGTGGACTATAATATAGTCAGTGATCTATCGTGGACTATAATATAGTCAGTGATCTATTGTAGACTATAATATAGTCTGTGATCTATCATGGACTATAATATAGTCAGTGATCTATTGTGGACTATAATATTGTCAGTGATCTATCATGGACTATAATATAGTCAGTGATCTATCGTGGACTATAATAGTCTGTGATCTATTGTGGACTATAAAATATAGTCAGTGAGCTATTGTGGACTATAATATAGTCAGTGATCTGTTGTGGACTATAATATAGTCTGTGATCTATTGTGGACTATAATATAGTCTGTGATCTATTGTGGACTATAATATAGTCAGTGACCTATTGTGGACTATAATATAGTCAGTGACCTATTGTGGACTATAATATAGTCAGTGACCTATTGTGGACTATAATATAGTCAGTGACCTATTGTGGACTATAATATAGTCAGTGACCTATTGTGGACTATAATATAGTCTGTGATCTATTGTGGACTATAATATAGTCAGTGATCTATTGTGTGGACTATAATATAGTCAGTGATCTATCGTGGACTATAATTTAGTCAGTGATCTATTGTGTTGACTATAATATAGTCAGTGATCTATTGTGGACTATTATATAGTCAGTGATCTATTGTGGACTATAATATAGTCAGTGATCTATTGTGGACCATAATATAGTCTGTGATCTATTGTGGACTATAATATAGTCTGTGATCTATTGTGGACTATAATATAGTCTGTGATCTATTGTGGACTATAATATAGTCAGTGATCTATCATGGACTATAATATAGTCAGTGATCTATCGTGGACTATAATATAGTCTGTGATCTATCGTGGACTATAATATAGTCAGTTACCTATTGTGGACTATGATATAGTCAGTGATCTATCGTGGACTATAATTTAGTCAGTGATCTATTGTGTTGATTATAATATAGTCAGTGATCTATTGTGGACTATAATATAGTCAGTGATCTATTGTGTGGACTATAATATAGTCAGTGATCTATTGTGGACTATGATATAGTCAGTGATCTATCGTGGACTATAATATAGTCAGTGACCTATTGTGGACTATGATATAATCAGTGATCTATCGTAGACTTTAATATAGTCAGTGATCTATTGTGTGGACTATAATATAGTAAGTGATCTATTGTGGACTATTATATAGTCAGTGATCTATTGTGGACCATAATATAGTCTGTGATCTATCGTGGACTATAATATAGTCAGTGATCTATTGTGGACTATGATATAGTCAGTGATCTATCGTAGACTTTAATATAGTCAGTGATCTATTGTGGACTATAATATAGTCAGTGATCTATTGTGTGGACTATAATATAGTCATTGATCTATCGTTGACTATAATATAGTCAGTGACCTATTGTGGACTATGATATAGTCAGTGATCTATCGTAGACTTTAATATAGTCTGTGATCTATCGTGGACTATAATATAGTCTGTGATCTATCGTAGACTTTAATATAGTCTGTGATCTATTGTGGACTATAATATAGTCTGTGATCTATTGTGGACTATAATATAGTCAGTGATCGTGATAGGCCCAGCTTTTTCCATATATTTTTGATAATAATAGGAGAAATACTTTTGTTAACAGCTTTTGCAGGTCAAAAACTGAGAAAAGAATATACTTTCTGTTACACACTGCATTTTATGCAAAAGTTATATCCCTTTGTTCATCTCAGTATTTGATTTTTTGTCCGGAGATTTTCTCCTACATTTTTTATAGCATGTCAGCTAACCACTCTTAGAATGATGCAGAGAGATCTTATTTCAATGTAAGAAAGTATATAACACTATATGGCATTCGACGGGCGTATATTGTTCCGCCAAGCGGTACTCTTGTGTAACAGGCGACTATTATCAGAACCCCTGCAGAAGTGTGAATTCGCTTTTGTGCCCTCTGCTTGGGACACAAAAGCAACCAAAATAAATTTGCTATGTGACACTTCAAATCTTTAGTTTATATGTTTTTAACTACATTTTAATTTTATATTTGTCAATAAAAGAAATACATTTATTAGCATACCTGTCTTTGCAGCAGAAAAACAAAATCGTCTATGTAGGGGAAATAAACAACTAATTAACTAGTGTTTATATTATCATTCTTTCCAGGGATGTTTGAAGGAGATTGAGTATTGGTTCCTACAGAATATGTATGTACTTGGGATTGTGGCACTTCTAGTCGGAGTAGTGCAGGTAAGTTGGAGTGGAGGTTTAGACAGAATATGTTATGCACAGGGGACCATTCCATTTCAAGCTAAGGTAGTACTAGTAAGTTTGAAGACTGTTCCTTTAAAGATTGTATGCATTTTGTATACTCAATATGGTAATTATATACAAGTGTTTATGCAAGCTGTATATCCTTCAAATTTTGTATACACTTTAATATTTATTTAAGTCAATGGGCTGGATAGACTTTATGCAACTTGTCTAACCTTGAAATTTTGTATACACATTATACATGTTTATTTTCAACAATGGGCTAGAGAACATCCGACTGACCCCCATTCTATAAAACATGATTTTACAAACCAGAAAGTGCAAAGTAAGAAAGATTTCCTATTTATGACAGATTTCTGCGATGGTAGCTGCGGTGGCATTGTTCTGCTGCCTCCGGACGGATGACTACCTCTAGGGGAGGATGATCACCACGAAAGGATGAAGTTCAATATTATCTAACTGGACAGATGATTATCACTGACGGTAGTGGGAAGTAACACCCTCTAATGAAAAGTGACAATCATCAGTGAGAAATGATTATCTCCGGTGAGGAGTGACAGTCTCCAAAGGGAAGTGATGACCTCTCATGTTAGACAGCTATCTCCTGAGAGCTGATCGTTCAGTGACAGTCTCCAAAGGGAAGGGATGACCTCTCATGTCAGACAGCTAACTCCTGAGAGCTGTTTGTTCAGTGACAGTCTCCAAAGGGATGTGATGACCTCTCACGTCAGACAGCTATCTCCTGAGAGCTGTTTGTTCAGTGACAGTCTCCAAAGGGAGATGTTGACCTCTCATGTCAGACAGCTATCTTCTGAGAGCTGATTGTTCAGTGACAGTCTCCAAAGGGAAGGGATGACCTCTCATGTCAGACAGCTATCTCCTGAGAGCTGATTGTTCAGTGACAGTCTCCAAAGGGAAGTGTTGACCTCTCATGTCAGACAGCTATCTCCTTAGAGCTGATTGTTCAGTGACAGTCTCCAAAGGGAAGTGATGACCTCTCATGTCAGACAGCTATCTCCTGAGAGCTGATCGTTCAGTGACAGTCTCCAAAGGGAAGTGTTGACCTCTCATGTCAGACAGCTATCTCCTTAGAGCTGATTGTTCAGTGACAGTCTCCAAAGGGAAGTGATGATCTCTCATGTCAGACAGCTATCTCCTGAGAGCTGATTGTTCAATGACAGTCTCCAAAGGGAAGTGATGATCTCTAATGTCAGACAACTATCTCCTGAGAGCTGATTGTTCAGTGACAGTCTCCAAAGGGAAGTGATGATCTCTCATGTCAGACAGCTATCTCCTGAGAGCTGATTGTTCATGTTTGCAATGATCAATACCTCAATAATAGGAATGTTACTGACAGAGAAACATGTACAATATTAGGAATGTTACTGACAGAGAAACATGTACAATATTAGGAATGTTACTGACAGAGAAACATGTACAATATTAGGAATGTTCCTGACAGAGAAACATGTACAATATTAGGAGTGTTCAAGATATTTCTTGGGAGGAAAGATTATCTCTGCCGAAAGCTAACAGCATCAGTGTATTTTATAACTGTGTTATGTTGATGGGAGGTTGTAAGTTTGTTTGTTTTGGACCAAATTATCGTTGCAGACAATGTTTTGTCTTTCCAGTATTATAGACTTGAAGTATTGAATGGCAAGCTTTATAGACCGGCATGTTTATTTGTAAACTTGTGAATACTAGTGTTCAATGAACTTCACAATTGATTTTGACTGGCTTGGAGTGTTGAGTAATAGTCACTATAGCCTAGCATTGACTGGCAATACCGTAGATGTGGGCAACGTTGAAAGTCATGGGGCCTGTATGCTAGTACTAAACATTATATGACATCACCAGGGTTGGCGTTTGTAATCATATATCACATGTTGTGATCAGTTTAGTATTTTAGCCTACACCATGTCTCCTTGTCCTAGATAGAATTGTACTGTTATCTATTACAGCGCTCTGTAAATATATATAATACATTGTACAGGAGATGTACTTTTTTTTTCAAGTCTTGTGCAACCACAGGATGTTTTTATTTTGTCAAAATTGTTAAAAGTACTTTTACAGGCAAGTCTATACATCATTTTACTACCGGTGAGCTTGAGTTTACATCTAGCTTGTACTGGTATGTTGTTTTAAAGATCAAATTTGTGTTACCTTTTATGGTTCATTGTGATTGTTCATGATGTTGTGAATTTATATCAGACCAATGTATGACTTTCTATACATTGTACTGTAATCAGTATACAGCATTGTCTGATGTGATCAACGGTTTTAGCAGACATTTTATCGTAGTCTTTGAATCATATTGAAGATAGAACTTTGTTACCCACCTTAAGAATTCTCACCTGTTTGGTGTCATTTTAAGATTTTCCTTAACTGAATTTTCCATGTGTGAAGATTTCCAATAAATTGTCTCATTTCTGTCACAATTGATTTTCCAATTTTTTAGAGTTTGCCATTTTCGTTTATGAATAGTAACAAGTGTTAACATTTCGTTGGTCTGTCCCAGTAGCCAGTGTTTGTAAACCTGGGTACCATAATGAGTCATTAAGGTAGCCAGTGTTTGTAAACCTGGGTACCATAATGAGTCATTAAGGCAAATATTGAAAATGTGATTTCACAGCATTGTCTTAAAATGTTCATGTATACTAGGTATCATGTTAATTTGTCTTTAATAGGGTCCAAGCCCAATGTCATGTAAACTAGGTATCATGTTAATTTGTCTTTAATAGTGTCCAAGCCCAATGTCATGTATACTAGGTATCAAGTTAATTTGTCTTTAATAGGGTCCAAGCCCAATGTCATGTAAACTAGGTATCATGTTAATTTGTCTTTAATAGGGTCCAAGCCCAATGTCATGCAATAAAACATACAATTGTAAGTCCAGCTTTTGAATTTATATGCTGTCAGTTTTTCATTAAAGATTAATTATAGATGTCTTAAATATAATTAAATTCTTCACAGTTCATTTACAGTTCATAATACCTTTCTGGCCAGTTTGTGGAAACCTGAGGAAGTATATTTATTTGCTATTTATGGTATTAAAAATAAATATGTATATTTTGTATACTTGTTTGATATATGAATGATACCAATTAGCAGATTGTATTCTTAATTCAATTGTAGTATGGCTTAGACAATAAAATCTGTCACTACTTTTGTTGTTTTTACACCAGAAAAAAAAAATTTCTTTTATTATTTGATTTTCAGAGTTACCTCCCCTGATTTTCCTCCAAATGCACAACTTATGGCATGATATACATAGTAATTGCCAAGCGTTTAACATATAGTTTGTTATGGTAATTGCCAAGCGTTTAACATATAGTTTGTTATGAAGTGTTTTTTGGCTAAACCTTGTACAAGATTGCAGCAAATTACTACCACCTTGGGAAACAATTGTTGTGAATTAATACTTTCTACAGATTGACTGATGACTTGTGTTTTCCCCAATTATGCCACAAAGTGTTAATTAGTGCACAATGTTACTGCCAATTTTCAAATTGTTGTTTTGTTTGGATAAAAGTAAACAATTTCAAACAAATAATTTTCAAAATTGATAGGTGAATTCCTTTTAAAACATGAGAACAAATTTTATATAAAAATGTGATCTTGTACTTGTGGTTTGAAATACATGTCCTTCGTTATACCAAGGTGAAATGATGGAAGTGTAATTTCTTGATTTTTATTGCCTTTTAGCTACTGGTGAGCTTATGCCATGCTGCGACATCTGTCGTCTTTTCCTTTAAAACACTATTAGTCCTGAACAGCCCAGTAGTTTTTGACTAAATTTGGTCTGGAGCACCCTGGGGGCAAATGGACGTGGCCCAATAGGGGAAATAGAGGTAAAACCTTTAAAATCCTTCTTATACTGTAGGGATAAAAGAATTTTATCCAAATTTAGTCTAAACCATCCTTGGGCAAAGGGGACTAAATTTTTAACATTGGGTGTGCCCCCCCTTGGGGTAGAGGGGTGGGGCCGAATAGGGAAATAGAGGTATACCTTTAAGATACTTCTTCTACCATAAAGATTAAGGGATTTTATCCAAACCTGGTCTAAACCATCCTTTGGAAACGGTTTGGACCCCCGGGGGTAGAGGCGCAGGGCCAAATAGGGGAAATGGAGGTAAAAGCTTTGAAATCCTTCTTCTACCATACGGATGAAGAGATTTTATCCCAATTAGTTCTAGAGCATCCTTCTTGCAAGGGGACTAAATTTTGTATAAATGATGGGTGTGGCCTCCCTGGGGGCAGAGGGGCAGGGCCCTTTAGGGGAAATAGAGGTAAAATCTTGAAATGCCTTCTGCTATTGTAGGGATAAATTTTATCCCGATTTATTCTGGAGCATCATTGGGCCAAGGGAACTAAATTTTGTATAAATTGTTGGTGTAGCTCCCCTTGAGGCAGAAAGAGGGTGAAAAAGAGGTAAATCTTCAAAATCCTTCTTCTAGCTACCATAAAGATGAAGGGATTTTATCCAAATTTGGTCTAGAACATCCTTTGGCAAAGGACTCTCAATTTTTAGCTCACCTGGCCCGAAGGGCCAAGTGAGCTTATGGCATGGTGTGGCGTCCGGCGTCAACTTTTTACTTTAAACAACTTCTACTCAGTAACCAAAAGACCTAGGGTGATGATATTTGGCCAGAAGCATGCTGGGATGAAGAGCTACCAAGTTTGTTCAAATAAATGACCTTGACTTATATTCAAGGTCACATGGGTCAAATATGTTTAAAACCTTTAGACAACTTCTTCTGAATTACCGAGATGCTTAGGGTGATGATAGTTGGCCAGTAACATGCTGAATTGAAGGGCTACCATTTTTGTTCAAATAAATGACCTTGCTTTATATTCAAGGTCACAGGGGTCAAATATGTATAAAACCTTTAAACAGCTTCTTCTGAATAACCAAAAGGCCTAGGATAATGATAGTTGGCCAGTAACATGCTGAAATGAAGGGCTACCAAGTTTGTTCAAATGAATGACCTTGAATCATATTCAAGGTCTCTGGGGTCAAATATGTTGAAAACATTTAAACAACTTCTTCTGAATAACAAAGAGGCCTAGGGTGATGACATTTGGCCAGTAACATGCTTGGGTGAAAGGCTACCAAGTTTGTTCAAATAAATGACCTTGACTTATATTCAAGGTCACATGGGTCAAATATGTTTAAAACCTTTAAACAACTTCTTCTGAATTACTGAGAGGCCTAGGATGATGCTATTTGGCCAGTTACATGCTGGGATGAAGGGCTTCTAAGTTTGTTTAAATAAATGACCTTGATTTATATTCAAGGTCACAGGGGTCAAATATGTTAAATTTTTTAAACAACTTCTTCTGAATAACCAAGAGGCCTAGGGTGATGATATTTGGCCAGTATCATGCTGGGATGAAGGGCTACTAAGTTTGTTTAAATAAATGACCTTCATTCATTTTCAAGGTCACAGGGGTCATATATGTTAAAACCTTTAAACAACTTCTGAATAACAAAGAGGTTAGGGTGATGATATTTGGCCAGTATCATGCTGGGATGAAGGGCTACCAAAAAAGCTTGTTCAAATAAATGACCTTGACCTATATTCAAGATCACAGGGGTCAAATATGTTAAAATCTTTAAACAACTTCTTCTGAATAACCAAGAGGCCTAGGGTGATGATATTTGGCCAGTAACATGCTAGGATGAAGGGCTAACAAGTGTGTTTAAATAAATGACCTTGATATATATTCAAGATCGCAGGGGTCAAATATGTATAAAACCTTTAAACAACTTCTTCTAAATAACCAAGAGGACTAGAATAATGGTATTTGGCCAATAACATGCCGGAATGAAGGGCTACCAAGCTTGTTCAAATGAACGACCTTGAATCATATTCAAGGTCACTGGGGTCAAATATGTTGAAAACATTTAAATATCTGCTTCTGAATTACCGAGAGGCCTAGGGTGATGATATTTGGCCAGTAACATGCTGGGATGAAGGGCTACCAAGTTTGTTTAATTAAATGACCTTCATTCATATTCAAGGTGACAGTGGTCAATATATGTTTAAATCTTTAAATGATTTGTTCTGTATAACCAGAGTAATGATATATTGCTAGAAGCATGCTGGGTTGGAAGACTATAAATTCTGTTCAACCTAATGTCCTTGTTCTTCATTCAAGGTCATGGGTGTCATATGTTTAAATATTTCAATATGTTCTTATTAATCAAACACGGATATTTTGCCTGTAGTTGTATTTTAGTCAACTTTTAAGATAACAAGTGTGAAATTAATACCAGGTGAGCGATTCAGGCCCATTGGGCCTCTTGTTCATAAATGGGGGGTTAGGACCTCCTGGGGGCAGAGGAGGGGGGGTGCAATAGGGGAAATATATAGGTAAAACCTTAAAAGTCCTTCTTCTATCATAGGGATTAAGGGATTTCATTCCAATTTGGTCTGAAGAATCCTTGGGCCATTGGGACTCAATTTTGTATAAACGGTGAGTTTAGACCCCCTGGGGGCAGAGGGGTGGGGCCAAATAGATGAAATAAAGGTAAAAATCTTGAAATGCCTTCTATCGTAGGGATGAAGAGATTTTATCCAATTTATTCTGGAGCATCCTTGGGCCAAGGGGACTAAATTTTGTATAAATTGTGGGTGTGGCCCCCTGGGGGCAGAGGAGTGGGTTCAAATAGGGAAAATATATAGGTAAAACCTTTAAATTCTTCTTCTACAATAGAGATGAAGGGATTTCATTCCAATTTGGTCTGGAGCATCCTTGGGCCAAGGAGACTAAATTTTGTAAGAACAGAGGGGTGGGGTCCAATAGGGGAAATAGAGATAAAACCTTTGACATTCTTCTCCTACCATAGGGATAAAGGGATTTTATCCTGATTTGGTCTTGGGCCTAGATGACTCAATTTTGTATAAATGGTGGGTGTGGCGCCTTTGGGTGCAGAGGGGCGGGGCTTAAAAGGGAAATTTGAGGCTTAAATCTTTGAAATCCTTCTCCTTCTGTACCATTGGAGGAATTTTATCCACATTTGACCTGGAGCATCCTTGGGCAAAGGCAACTTTGTTTTGTATAAACATAAGCTGTAGCCCTTCTGGATGCAGAGCGGCAGAGCTCAAAAGGGGAATTTAAGGTTAAAATCGTTAAAATCCTTCTCCTTCTGTTCTATTTGAGGAATTTTATCCACATTAGACCTGGAGTATCGTTGGATATGTGATACTGTAACATTCCAATTGTCGATATTGCCCGCCTGTGTAATAACCTATCCATATCAGCCCGCTTCCGGATATATCAGTCCTCATCCTGGTCTTCAGCACAGTCCAGTCCAGTGACCGCTTTAAATTTTAGAGGTTTGTTGTTGTTGTTGTCTGCACCTCTTCTACGGAGTCTTGTGGAGGCAGTACTTGAGTCGTTAGCTCAACAAATACTTGAATTAGATGAACTTATTGACAAAGAAAATGACCAAAAGTTGGAAGAGGTAAGGTTTGTTAACATCGAAAGGGAGAACACCGGTAGTTTGTCGACAGCACGAAAAACTGCAACAGGATGAGGAAAACTGTTTGTTTAAATGGTTTTTTTTAGCTCACCTGGCCCGAACTTGGTAGCCCTTCATCCCAGCATACTACAGGCCCAATATCAGTACTCTGGGCCTTTTGGTAATTGAGAAGAAGTCGTTTGAAGATTTTAACATATTTAACCCCTGTGACCTTGAAAGTGAGTCAAGATCATTTATTTGAACAAACTTGGTAGCCCTTGATTCCAGCATGCTACTGGCCAAATATCATCATCCTAGGCCTTTTGGTTACTGAGAAGAAGATGTTTAAAGTAAAAAGTTGACGCCGGACCTTCGGGCCAGGTGAGCTAAAAATGTAAACAACTTCTTCTGAATAACCAAAATGCCCAGGGAGATGATATTTGGCCAGTAGTATGCTGAAATGAAGGGCTACAAAGTTTGTGAATGTCCTTCACCCATATTCAAGGTCACAGGGGTCAATTGTTAAAAAAGACCTTTAAACAACTTCTTCTGAATAACCAAAAGGCCCAGGATGTTGATATTTAGTCAGTAGCATACTAGGATGAAGGGCTACCAAGTTAATTAATGAATGAACTTGAATCATATTCAAGGTCACAAGGAGTAAATATGTTAAAAATCTTTAAACAACTTGTTCTGAATAACCAAAAGGCCCAGAATGTTGATATCTAGTCAGTAGCATGCTGGGATCAAGGACCATCATGTTTGTTAAATAAAGTGAATGACTTTGACTTATATTCAAGGTCACAGGGGTCAAATTTGTTTAAAATATTTTAAACAACCTCTACTGAATAACCATGGGTCCCAGAATATTGATATTTTGCAAGTTGCATCCCGAGATGAATGGCTATAAAATTTGTTCAACATAATGACCTTGTTCGACTTTCAATCACAGGGGTGAAATGTTTTAAAAACTTGTAACAGGTTCTTTTGAATGAATTTTAATTATTTTAGATCACTTTTAAGGTTACAAGTGTGCGATATATACCAGGTGAGCAATGCAGGCCCATGGGCCTCTTGTTTCATTAGTAAAATGTATACGATGAAAATGTTATATGCCCGTTTTCATATCAGCCCCCCATATTGGCCTGATATCGGAAGCTTGGGCCAATCTGGGGTCTGATATGAAAACAGGCATGTAATAATAACCTCTAATTATTGTCAGAATGATTTAACAAATCAACATAATAGGGGTTTGTTCCATGTTTTTATTATGCATTATTGAACTTGTAACAAATATTGACATCCTTCAAAATTGTAGAGATGATAGTACATGTACAAATTGTCAATTCTAGCCATACAATAGACACAGACACACATGATACTTAATGTTAAGACCCATTGGGATATTTGAAAAATGTGAAGTTAAAGGCATTTTTTTAAGTTAATTTGGTAACCAGACTTTTTTAACATGATTTACGTATAACGAATCTTGTAAATCTGTTTCCCATATGCAATTTTATGTTTTTGACCATCTAACTTGCATAACAATATAGGCACCTAATAAGATGGTCAAAACTCATTTATGCTTGGGAACCACGTTTATTATGTAAGATGAACATACCAAAGTTATTAAATGGAAGGTCATGTAGGCCTGTTTCACCCACCTGTTTGTCATTCAATTCTGTTAGCAAATGGATCTCTTGTCTGTTGCCTTCAAAGTAGCTCAAAGACAAATCAATTTAAACAAAGTTATAATCAAGCATGCTAGCACTACAGGTTTTAAAGGTTTTAACACATTTTACCCTGCTTCTTCAAAATTTGGTCAAGTTCATTCATTTGAACCAACTTCTGAGCTCTTCATCCCAACATGTTGGTTATCAAGATGATTCAATGTTTTACAATTTTTTTAACCCTTTGACCTTGAAAATGGGTCAACATTATTTATTTGATAGAATGTCCTCATTCCCAGCATGAAGCTTTGCAATTGGCAATTCTGAAGAGGTCTTTTAAAAGAATCAACACATTTGACACTGAAAGTAGGTCAGGGTCATTCATTTAAACAAACTTGATAGCCCTGTTTCACAGCATGCAACTGTTCAATTATAATGACCTCAAGCATCTTGGTAATTTAGAAGTCATTTAGAAATGTTAAAACAATTGTCACCTATGAACTTGAGAGTAGGTTAAAGACACTTATTAGAACAAACTTGATAAGAGCTCCATTCTAGCATGATATTGGCCAAATATCCTTGGTTGTTTACCGTTTGAACAGACGTTGAAAGTGAGTCAAGAGGATTCATTTACAAAATGTATAGCCCTTTAGTCCAATTATTATCACCCTAAGCCAAACAGACAGACTGACAACAAACGAAAACCACACCATTGCACAAGCTCATTTAATCTGGTCCTTAATGTTTAAAAAATTGCACCCTGAACATGTCTATTTTTTTCCCTCAAAAAATCCTCGAGTCTTTTGGTCCTTCATGTCACTTCATAGACAAAACAATCCCAGCCATACAACAGCTATGGCCACACATGATCAGTATCAGTTGTTCTAATACTGGTGAAACAATAAACAGTAAAGTATAATGAGATTTTACATTCAGAAAGAGAAAGTTTTGATATTGAAGTGTCTACCAACCTTGACACACATACATAATCTTGGCCAGCATGCCTAGCACATTAAAATCCTTGAACAGTCAGTTACAGAAAGATCAGTCACAACATGATATTTGCACTTCTACATAAGGAAGTTTTAAACGACTACACACGTCACTTTTACACTGTTACATAAACACTGTACAATCATATTTGACCACACACAAATTTCAGTCTGTTAATTAGTGTTACATAGTCCAATTAGTCAGCCACTTAGAGCTGTGTAATCTGATAGAAAACATAGACTGGTATAATGTTTTACATATACAAGTAAAAATTACAAAAAAAAACAGAAAAAGGAGAGATCCTTATAACACTTAATAAACAGATATAGATCAATGTCTACATACACTTGATTTTACATTTGTTCTGACAAAATGGTGTAATATTAACACTAACAGTACAGCATAACACTGACATTAACAGAGACCAGTGTAATTTTACACTGATGGACTTACAGCCCATATTAACACTGAAAAATATGGAGTAATGTTACACTAACAGACTGATGAAGACTAGCGTAATGCTGTTCTTCAGCTCGCTTCTACTGGCTGGTCCCCTGTTTGTGGCTCCTGGTTCTCTTCCTCGGTGGATTTCTCAAGGTCATCAGATTTCTCAAGGTCTTTTCCTTCATCCAATGGAATCTCCTTCTTAAAATGTAAGTGAAACGATGAATGATAAATGGGATATTTTCATTAATATTCAGTCATGACAATGTTAAAGCAAAATACAAAATCACTTCATATATACTGCAATGTTAAATCAATACACAATAAATGTTGAAGAATTAAATAAACATATTGAACCATTATACTGTAACATCACGCCATCCCAGAACATTGAACCATAACACATTATCATTAAACTATTATCCCATATCATTGTACCATTACATCGTAATATTGAACAATTACACCATATCATTGAACCATTACACAGTAACATTGTACCATTACACAGTATCATTGTAGCACTACACCATATCATTGAACCATTACACAGTAACATTGTACCATTACACAGTATCATTGTAGCACTACACCATATCATTGAACCATTACACAGTAACATTGTACCATTACACAGTATCATTGAACCATTACACAGTAACATTGTACCATTACACAGTATCATTGAACCATTACACAGTATCATTGTACCTTTACACAGTATCATTGTACCACTACACCATATCATTTTACCACTACACCATATCATTGAACCATTACACAGTATCATTGAACCACTACACCATGTCATTATACCACTACACCATATCATTGAACCTTTACACAGTACCATTGTACCAGGCCATTACACCATATCATTGAACCATTACACAGTAACATTGTACCATTACACAGTATCATTGTACCACTATACAATATCATTGAACCTTACACAGTATCATTGTACCATTACACAGTATTATTGAACCATTACACCATATCATTGAACCTTTACACAGTATCATTGTATCATTACACCATATCATTGTACCACTACACCATATCATTGAACAATTACACAGTATCATTGTACCATTACACCATATCATTGAACCTTTACACAGTATCATTGTACCAGGCCATTACACCATATCATTGAACCATTACACAGTATCACTGTTCCATTACACAGTATCATTATACCACTACACCATATCATTGAACCATTACACAGGATCATTGTACCACTACACCATATCATTGAACCTTTACACAGTATCATTGAACCTTTACACCATATCATTGAACCATTACACAGTATCATTGAACCATTACACAGTATCATTGTACCATTACACAGTATCATTGTACCACTACACCATATCATTGTACCATTACACAGTATCATTGTACCATTACACAATATCATTATACCATTACACCATATCATTGTACCACTACACCATATCATTTTACCACTACACCATATCATTGAACCTTAACACCATATCATTGAACCATTACACCATAACATTGAACCTATACACAGTATCATTGTACCACTACACGATATCATTGAACCATTACACAGTAGAATTGAACCATTACACAGTAACATTGTACCATTACACAGTATCATTTTACCATTACATCGTAACATTGAACCATTCCACAGTATCATTGTACCTTTACACAGTATCATTGTACCACTACACAGTATCATTGTACCATTACACAGTATCATTGTACCATTACACAATATCATTGAACCATTACACAGTATTATTGAACCATTACACCATATCATTGAACCTTTACACAGTATCATTGAACCTTTACACCATATCATTGAACCATTACACAATATCATTGAACCATTACACCATAGCATTGAACCTTTACACAGTATCATTGTACCACTACACCATATCATTGAACCTTAACACCATATCATTGAACCATTACACAGTATCATTGTATCACTACACCATATCATTGAACCATTACACAGTATTATTGAACCATTACAGCATATCATTGAACCTTTACACAGTATCATTGTACCAGGCCACTACACCATATCATTGAACCATTACACAGTATCATTGAACCATTACACACTAACATTGTACCATTACACAGTATCATTGTACCACTACACCATATCATTGAACCATTACACCATATCATTGAACCATTACACAGTATAATTGAACCATTACACAGTAACATTGTACCATTACAAAGTATCATTGTACCATTACACAGTATCATTGTACCATTACATAGTAACATTGTACCATTAAACAGTATCATTGTAGCATTACACAATATCATTGAACAATTACACAGTATAATTGGACCATTACACAGTATCAACACAGTAACATTGTACCACTACACCCTATCATTGAACCATTACTCAGTATCATTGTACCACTATACCATATCATTGAATCATTACACCATATCATTGAACAATTACTCAGTATCATTGTACCACTACACTGTAATATTGAACCATTACACAGGATCATTGTACCATTACACGGTATCATTATACCATTATACCATATCGTTGAACCATTACTCAGTATCATTGTACCACTACTTACACAGTATCATTGTTACGATGTAATGGTACAATGATGCTGTGTAATGGTACAATTAGTGGTACAATGATACCGAGTAATGGTTCAATGATAACTGTGTAATGGTACAAAGTATCATTGTACCATTACACAGCATCATTGTACCATTACACCGTATCATTGTAGCACTACACCATATCATTGGACCATTACACAGTATCACAGTATAATTGAACCATTACACAGGATCATTGTACCATTACACCGTATCATTGTAGCACTACACCGTATCATTGAACCATTACTAAGTATCATTGTACCACTACTTACACAGTATCATTGTTACGATGTAATGGTACAATGATATGGTATAGAGGTACCACTACACCATATCCTTGTACCATTACACAGTTATCATTGAACCATTACTAAGTATCATTGTACCACTATACCATATCATTGAACCATAACACAGTATCATTGTACAATTACATCGTAACATTGAGCCATTACACAGTATCATTGTTCCATTACACAGAATCATTGTACCACTACACCCTATCATTGAACCATTACTAAGTATCATTGTACCACTATACCATATCATTGAACTATTACTCAGTATCATTGTACCACTAATTGTACCATTACACAGGATCATTGTACCATTACACTACCACTATACCATATCATTGAATCATTACACCATATCATTATACCACTACGCCATATCATTGAACCTTTACACAGTATCATTGAACCTTTACACTGAACCATTACACAGTATCATTGTTCCATTACACAGTATCATTGTACCACTACACCTTATCATTGTACCATTATACCATATCATTATACCACTACACCATATCATTGAACAATTACACAGTATCATTGTACCACTACACAGTATCATTGTATCATTACACCATATACTACACCATATCATTGTACCATTATACCATATCATTATACCACTACACCATATCATTTTACCACTACACCATAACATTGAACCATTACACAGTATCATTGTACCACTACACCGTAATATTGAACCATTACACAATATCATTGAACCATTACACAGTATCATTATACCAGTACACAGTATCATTGTACCATTACATCGTAATATTGAACCATTACACAGTATCATTGAACCATTACACCATATCATTGAACCATTACACAGTATTATTGTACCATTACACCATATCATTGAACCATAACACAGTATCATTGTACCACTACACAGTATCATTGTACTATTACACAGTATCATTGTACCATTACATATCATTGAACCATTACACAGTAGTATTGTACCATTACACCATATCATTGAACCATCACACCATATCATTGAACCATTACACAGTATTATTGTACCATTACACCATATCATTGTACCATTACATTGTACCATTGAACCATTACACAGTATCATTGAACCATTACACAGTATCATTATACCACTACACCATATCATTGAACCATTACACCATAACATTGAACCATTACATCGTAACATTGAACCATTACACAGTATCATTGTACCACTACCCCATATCATTGAACCATTACACCATATCATTGAACCATTACACAGTATCATTATACCACTACACCATATCATTGAACCTTTACACCATATCATTATACCATATCATTGAACCATTACACAGTATCATTGTACCACTACACCATATCATTGAACCATTACACCATATCATTGTACCATATAATTGTAACATTGAACCATTACACAGTATCATTGTACCATTACACAGTATCATTATCCCATTACACCATATCATTATACCATTACACAGTATCATTATACCATTACACCATATCATTATACCATTACTCAATATCATTATACCATTACACCATATCATTAAACCACTACACCATATCATTGAACCATTACACCATAACATTGAACCATTACATCGTAACATTGAACCATTACACAGTATCATTGTACCACTATTGTACCACTACACCATATCATTGAACCTTAACACCATATCATTGAACCATTACACAGTATCATTGTACAAGGCCACTACACCATATCATTGTACCATTACACAGTATCATTATACCATTACACCATATCATTATACCATTACACAATATCATTATACCATTACACCATATCATTATACCACTACACCATATCATTGAACCATTACACAGTATCATTGTACCATTACACCATATCATTGTACCATTACACCATATCATTGTACCATTACACCATATCATTATACCATCACACCGTAACATTGAACCATAACAATGAGCACAGAAATGTTGAACCATTGCACCAAGATGCTCAATTACAACTAAACACATAACTCTATACATGTAATAAGTTTCAGAAATTAATTCAGTTTAATCCAACTCGAAGGTTTATTTGTTTCTCCTAGTAGCCGACGATGTAAAACAAGAAAACAGGTTATTATATTTACAAACTTTATTTAATATAGAGTTTTTGATTTATGTACTGGAAACCTCCATGGTGAAGAAACCAGAACTGTCACCAGAATGGTAGGCTAATGCTGCTGGCTTTTGCCGAGAATTGTAGGAAGAGTTCTT